CCAATTTTGCATACAAAGTTCAATTGTTAGGCAAATAGATTAGCTAGACAAATTTTTAAATAACTTTACCAAACATGAATATACTACTTATCCACTTTCAAATGGCTAACAATATTTCAAGATGACATGTACCAAACAGACGGCTCAAAACCTGAAATCTTTGGTCTGTCTTTGCGACACTTTAATAATGAGGACTCAACTACACTTACTAAATTTAAAATTAAAATCAAAACCTGGAATTGTATATTGCTAAGATTTGATGCTAATAATCACTCTTTTGATCAGAATGAAAGTTGCATAAAAACAAGATGATCGATTGAGTTCATGTAATCATTTTATTGAACCTCTAGTATTCGTGCAATTTAAATCATCGTAATTCATTCATGAGCTCTTATATTTGTCTGGAGCCCACTTGTTAAATTTGAAGTTTGGGTTCATAATTACCCCCACTACTCCCCCAAATTAAGGATGGGATGTAAAATTAACCGGATGTGTCTCCACAAGACAAAAGTGAATAAATGTTCAAATTGGTAAGTTTATATAAAGTGAATATAAATAGGCTTAACATTTCTGCAGTAGCAGTAGATAGTGTTATCTACAGCTGACACAGAAAAGTGGGTCCCACGGCTTTTTTTTAAAAAAAAAAAAAAACTCAGGATCCGTTGCCGTATCCTAGGATTCGGACGTGTATCCTTGCTTGCTGTAGGTACAGCAGCTGCAGAAATCATTTTGCCATATAAATATTGTTTTGACGAAGGTTCTGTTGTTCATGTTGAATGATAAGGCAAAAAAATTTATTTATTGTAATTTAATTAAATAATTACGCATTTATTGCAGTTTGAGAAGTATTTACAGATCTATTGCACAATGTGACGCCTTTTTTGGGCGTCACATGTGACGCCTCATTTAGGCGTCTCTCACCAAGGGAAGACGCCCCAATGGGGCGTCTCTCATGAGGTGTTGACACGTGTCATTTCTCTCTAAAAAAATAATAATAATTTAATCATAAAACTTCTAAAGGCCATAACTTTTGACTCGGGTATCCAATTCAGGTAATTCTTTTTTTGGTTCCACATAACTTTTCGAGATCTACGTAATGACATCTCATTTGATATATTTTATTTCTCACAAACATAATTTAAATTTGCAAGAATGGTAGTATACGAGCGTTTAAACCTAAAAGTCTCTTAGTTCTTTCCGAATCAACACCAAACACACCAAAACCAAGTGTTTGAAAAAAAATAGTGTACAATGTTATTGAACAGAAATTCGTATTGTGTATCGTTTGGTTGATTTTTTGTATCTTGAATCATACGGTATCATAAGTTACATCCTTCTGTTTTATGACTTTTTTCTTTAAAGCCATTTAAATTATAGCTTCTGAATGATTTTCAAAAATAAAATCCTTCTTACTTAGAGATTTATAATATTTATTTAATTATTTTTTTATTATACAGATTTTTCAAAAAAATAAACATAAAATAAAATAAAATCCTTCTTACTTAGAGATTTATAATAGCTCATAAGTACTAGATTTGTGATTTTTGAGTTTAAGTCACAAATCAAATCTTTATTTTGTTTTCCTTATTAATGATAATTTTTTAGATTTTTTTAAATTTAAATCACAAACCAAAACTTTATTTATTTTTTATATTAAAAATTAAAAAATGTGATTTTTTTTAAATTTAAATTACAAACTAAATCTTTATTTTTTTATATTAAATCACAAATCTAGTACTCAGAGGCTTGTGGATTTAAACGCTCTTATAATACCATTCTTGCAAATTTAAATTATGTTTGTGAGAAATAAAATATATCAAATGAGATGTCATTGCGTAGATCTCGAAAAGTTATGTGGAATCCAAAAAAGAATTACCTGAATTGGATTATTTTTTTAATATTAAATCACAAATCTAATACTTAGAGGCTTGTGGATTTAAACGCTTTTATAATACCATTCTTGCAAATTTAAATTATTTTTGTGAGAAATAAAATATATCAAATGAGATGTCATTGCGTAGATCTCGAAAAGTTATGTGGAATCAAAAAAAGAATTACCTGAATTGGATACTCGAGTCAAAAGGTATGGCCTTCAGAAGTTTTATGATTAAATTATTATTTTTTTTAGAGAGAAATGACACGTGTCAACACTCATGAGAGACGCCCCAATGAGGCGTCTTCTCTTGGTGAGAGACGCCTAAATGAGGCGTCACATTGTGCCATAGATCCGTAATTATTTCCAAAACTGTAATAAATGTGTAATTATTTAATTAAATTACAATAAATAAATTTTTTTTGCCGGTTACATTTTAGTATTGTGTGTGATGGCCAAAAAAGTAGTACAAGTCCCTGAACTTGATGTCCATTTGAAGGCCGATTCTCATCTATAATCATGTATGCTTAGGCTTGGCTTTTTCATGCAACTTTCCACAGTACACATGGTAGCTGCAGACCATGTCTTTGGCCTTTTTCGTCTTTAGCTTACACATTTACCCATATATAGGCTTGCTTTATTGTAAAAGAAAATTTGGGTTGGGATCTTATGTCCCTAGATATTCATCTTCTGAAACCACGAACTTTAATGTTATGCGTCACACTGTTTTTTTTTTTTTGTATGTATTATTTATGGGTTTATTAATTATATAATTAGTCCTATTCGAATTGGATAAAATCACGTACAAGATTATTTTTCTGTATCAATAAATCTTTTAATTTTTTTTCTGTAAACATAAATCTTTTAAATTTAATTAACATAGAAAGAGATAGGTTATACTTATGATATTTTTTTTACAACCAATTTTGTTATTATTAGATCAAAATTCAATCAATGGCTTTTACTTGATGTCATTTTGTAATCGTTGATTTGATTTTGATTCAATAATAACAAGATTAATTGTAACTGTTGGTAAGAAAAAAAAGATGATAAGTATAATCTTTCTTTATAGAAATACTATTTTATTGCAAATTCAATTTAATTTAATTAACGTAAATTAATTGAGGTTGGAACATCATGTAAAAACCACCAAATAAGTGGATCAACTAGTAAAGAGTTGTTTCAATTTAATTAATGATTTTGAGTTTGAATCCCTATAACGCAACTATGTTAAAATTTGTTACGGAAAATTTTATCATCCATATAATATTACTCGAATCTGACTCATCGGATGATGACATAAAAAAAAATCACGAAAAAATAGGGGTGATAAAGTTTATGAGATTTATGTTTATCATATTGTAGGAAATAATTTTATTTCTTACACACACATAAAAGTATAATGGGGTCTATGTGGGGTCATATAAAGAGAAGAGAGAAAAAAAATGGGTCTCACATATTTTTACATGAGTTTGATTTTGTTATTTTAAATGACATAAGTTATATCATTTTAGGAGAGAGATAGATACAAGAAATAAAAATCATAAGGGAGAAAGTGAGTGATTTCTTTAATTTAAATTTTAAATAAAAAAATTTATTTTGTGTCTATCTCTCTTATAAAATGACACAATTTTATGTCATTTAAAATGATAATTTTTCCTTTATATATATATATATATATATATATATATATATGAGATAATTTTTAAGTTATACAATACAACAATAGAGACATTTAATTCAAAGTTTATTTAAAAAATAAACATATATACGTTACTCAAAAATAAAATAAAATAAAGTAAACATATATACAGCTCCACACCTGAGTCAAAAAATTTGCTGAGTTGGTTTGGATTGACCAAATTTATTACATAACCTATTTGACTTGACTTTTGTTTAATTAATTTAGACTCAATTTTTTTTGTAACTGATCGAACCCGTCTTCACTTTTTTTTTTTTTTTTAAAAAAAAACTCATCCAAAATATAAACATTTAAAAAATATTACGCCGTAGCAAACCACTAAATAAGTAATTTCTATGAATTTAATTTGTGCCTTTAAATTTTAAGAAATTCTACCCGATTTTTTTTCTATAAATGAATTAATATTTTTATTAAATTTTAAATAAATAAATAATTTCAATCACTTCAATTTATGCTCTTAAATCTTAATAAATTCTAAGCGATTTTTTTAATCATACAACATTACGTAAATGGAAAACGTGCTAATATAACCGACCGGTGAGTAGAAAAAGAGAGAATGACTTTGCACAACAAAGGGGCTTTATGAATGAATTATGAATTATGAACTATGAATGAATCTTTACCTTCCAGCAATGAATCTTTATATTCTTTTTCAGGCAAATAGGCGATTAAAACTTTTGTTTGACTTTTTAATTAATTATTATTATAATCAAGCCTTTTATAAAATGAAGTAGCAACACATACATGAGTAATATGAACATGTAATTTTACACTCTGAACCAATCAAACTTAAATGCAGACAAAATAGCCTTCATATTAAGTATTAACATTCTTTAACTCTCATTTAATAGCGCCACTGACCACGGTTTCTCTAAGTTCCATAAGAGCAAAAAAATAAAACAAAATAATAATAATAAATTATTTCTTCAAGCACTACTCTTTTTAAATTGTTATCCATGTTCTATGGATTTGAGTTCATTTGTCTCATTTCCTATATCTAACGTGCTCACTGACACAACACAAATGCAAATTGCCAAAATCCTTTCTGTGTGATGCAGCAGCTAGCAGGAGTGGCTTTCACAAATCACAAATGTCCCTTCATGCTGACATTTGTACTTGATAATTTTCAAAAGTACCTAATGGAATCTTTTGAATTTTCTTCTTGTTGAAAAAAAACACTTTTGGATTGTTTCTCTTCTGAAATGTGTTTTGTTCATAGCCCTTTGATGCATAGTTGTATCATGCAAAAAAGAGAAGGGGTGTTTACATAAAGCAGAAAAGTAATGGTATGATATCTTTGGTGGCAAAGGGAAATGTGGAGCCTTTTGGAAATGAACATTCTAAAAGAGTTAAGTTGTTGAAGATTTCAAAAGCTTGGGACACTTAGGAGTGTAGTTGTTGAAGTGTTCCTACCAAGGAAAAAAAAAAGTGGAAAACACTGAGGATAATATGCCAACTGTGTGGTTCTCTTTGAAAAAGTCTCTACACTGCAAATCAGAGCCATCAGATGTTCATGACCCAAAATCAAGGAAGCACTTGAGCACAATCTTGACTAAAAGGGAAGGGACAGGTAGGTCAGGTTGTTCCAGGTCCATAGCAAATCTCAAAGATGTTATCCATGGAAGCAAGAGGCATCTAGAGAAGCCACCAAGTTGTAGTCCAAGATCCATAGGGAGCAGTGAGTTCCTCAACCCAATAACACATGAAGTGATTTTGAGTAACTCAAGGTGTGAGCTGAAAATCACTGGCTATGGAGGATTTCAAGAAGGGGTTGGCAGTGATGGTGGAGGTGGTAATAATGGTGGTGCTAATTCAACCTTTGTTGGCACTTTAAGGCCTGGGACTCCTGGCCCTGGAGGGCACCCTACAATGCACTACTTCAACCCTTCTTTTAGGACTTCATCCACTCCTCCAAGGAAATCTCCTTTCCTTCTATCAGATAAAGAAGGGTCTGGCCTGCATGGTGTTGGACTTCATTCAGGAAGTAGGTTGTTTCTTGAGACAGATTCTAATGGTTCTTCTACTGTGACTTGCCACAAATGTGGTGAGCAATTTAACAAATGGGATGCTGCTGAAGCTCATCATCTTTCCAAACATGCTGGTAGGTAACCATTTTTGTTTTTTTGTCAAATATCTATTGTAAGTTTATCTGGTTTTCATGGTTTCTATCTTCAAGTGGATAAGGTCCACATTTTTTTTTGTTTTTGTTTTTCTTATGGTTTGTTGACACTTTGGTGTTGTTTTCACATATTTTAAGGATTAAAGAACAAGTTTTTTGTTTTACAGTTACTGAACTTGTGGAAGGTGATTCATCAAGAAAAATAGTGGAGATAATATGCAGGACGAGCTGGTTAAAGTCTGAAAACCAATGTGGTCGAATTGAGAGAGTTTTGAAAGTCCATAACATGCAAAAGACTTTGGCTCGGTTTGAAGAGTACAGAGAGATGGTGAAAATCAAAGCCAGCAAACTCCCCAAGAAGCATCCTCGATGTCTTGCTGATGGGAATGAGCTATTGAGGTTCTATGGAACCACTGTTGCTTGTTCTCTTGGTCACAATGGCTCTTCTAGTCTTTGCCTATCTGAAAAATGCTGTGTTTGTAGAATTATTAGAAATGGTTTTTCTGCCAAGAATGAGCTCAAGGGTGGAATAGGAGTTTTCACTACTTCCACAAGTGGAAGGGCTTTTGAATCTATTGAGGTTTTTGACCATGACCCATCACTAAGAAAAGCATTGATAGTGTGCAGAGTAATTGCTGGCAGGGTCCATAGACCTCTTGAGAACATTCAGGAAATGGCAGGTCAAACAGGGTTTGATTCATTGGCTGGGAAAGTTGGTCTTTATTCAAATATTGAGGAGCTTTATTTGCTCAATCCTAGAGCTCTTCTTCCTTGCTTTGTGGTAATTTGTAAACCCTGAAGCAAAAGAATCAAAGTTAAAAGTTGCCAATATTAACTGTGTAGTGTTACTTTTTATTGGTTCCCTATTTTGGTCTTTCTATGCACAATGGAGGTTCTTTGCCCAGCATTTCTAAGAATTTTGATTCCTCTTCCATGTATGTGTGCTTCTTTGTTGATTGAATGAACCTCTTATTCATACATTTGTATTTTTTTTATGGCACTGAAAACTTTCATCTGCCAAGGATGAAATGCACAAAATAATATTGCAAGACAATGACATCATACTAACTCAAGCTTAAGTAATTAACTGTCCCTTCAACATTTCCCACTTTAATTAATGGTCATTGAAGTTGGTTACAGGTTATAATTTTGGGTAAATGTTATATTAATTGGCCTAAAAAAATATTTCCTATTTGAAATGTGTAATAAAACCAACTAACCTGATTAAATTTTGCCAAAATCAAATTGCAAGATATAGAAGAATCCTAGTTGTGTGTGCATTTAATTAAGTGGTAAAGCCTACCACCAAGTACGAAAACTAATTAGTTTACTTTAATGCAATCCATGACTAGATTCAATTTCAAGTGCTCATTAAATGACTTAAATTGACTGACCACCATTCATGATGATCTGTGGGTTATATATATCTATATTAGTATTATTATAATGTGATATCAGGCAAGGTGTTTGACCTTACCCTAATAAATTAATGAACATATACTGAAGCAAATATTGCAAAAATGTCCCATTTTCTTTTTGAGAAAGGAAATTTGGTAAAAAAAAATAAAGGGTTGTGGTCCTCCTTGAATGGTTATGGATCAAGTTGAGACAGAGATGATTCCAAACATGAGGACAAATACGAGGAAGGATTAGAAGTATATGTTCACAACTTAAGCATATACCCCTTATCTTCTCCTCTTACCATTGTGCTGTCAGTGCTTTGATAAATATTTAATTGCCAGTTTTACTTCATTGGAGCTTATGGATCACCCTGAGATAAGAACAACAACGGTTTAAGATAGGGTCCAGGACCCATATCTCAGTTCTCTCTCCCACCATGTATTTATTTATATGCTGTCATACAAAAATTTTAGTGTGAATAACTGAATATGGTAAGTTATTGTCCACTTTATGGCGTCTTAACTCCTAATGGCATTTACCTTTTATGGTAAGCATATGTATCGAAGTATTCTTCTCCAGCTATTTGATTGTTACCGGCAATGACCAACCGTGCTTTGAATCTCTCCACTGTACCATTTGAGTTGTACTTAATGCGGTATACCCACTTGCATGGAATGGCACGTTTTCCTGGTGGCAAAGAAGTGAGTTCCCACGTGTGATTTTGTTCAAGGGCATCTATTTCTTTTCGCATTGCTACACGCCACCTTTCATCAGTTACAACATCCTTGAATGTTTTTGGTTCAACACCAGAAGAAATGGCAGCAAGGAATTGTTGATGTTTGGGAGAGAATCTAGAACAAGAAACAAAGTTAGCAATAGGATAAGCCATACCTGAGGAAGGACTGGAAGAAGTAGAAGAAGCTAGTGGATTATGCGCGATGACTTTGGAGCATTCGAAATCTTGGAGATATGATGGAGGACGGCGAGAACGGTGACCACGTCCCAAAGGTGCAGATGGATGTGTGACTTCTGGGGGCTGTTCTTGTCGGATAGAAAGCTCATTGGAGACAGTAGGGGCAGATTCGGGCTGAGCCTGTTCAACAGGGAGAGTGTCTTCAATTAAAGGGACAGGGTTGGTAACAACTTGGGAATCAAAGGATGGGCTTTGTGGAGCAAGGGTTGGTTCGGGTGATATGAGGTTATGGGGGTTTGGGTCGTGAGGAATATCAGTGGTAGGAATGACTGTGGTTGGTGCAAAAGGAAAGGTGTTCTCTTCAAATACCACGTCTTTGGATACAAAAACAGTATGTGTTTCAAGGTTATAAAGCCTCCAACCCTTTTTGCCAAAAGGATATCCCAGGAACAGACACCGAGTTGATCGAGCTGCAAACTTGTCCAACGGTTTGGGACGTGGATGAGCATGGCAAAGACATCCGAATATGCGAATATGATCATAGCTGGGTGTGCGGTTGAAAAGACATTCATATGGTGTTTTTCCTTGGAGAAGAGGAGTGGGGGTTCTATTGATTAAATGTACCGCAGTTAGAACACATTCACCCCAAAACTCGATAGGAAGACTAGCTTGAAAGCGTAATGCTCTTGCAACATTCAAAATATGTCTATGTTTCCGTTCAACACGACCATTCAGCTGTGGTGTGTCTACACATGATGTTTGATGTATAATTCCCATATCGGAATAAACCTTGCGGAGATTATGAGCACAAAATTCTGATCCATTGTCGGAGCGTATTATTTTGACCATGGTATTAAACTGATTACGTACCATGAGAAGAAATCGAGTTAAGTATTGGAACGTTTCAGACTTGGTGGTCATTAAATAAACCCAGACGTTTCTGCTATAATCATCCACAATTGTTAAAAAATATCTTGCACCGGTTAGAGAGGTAGTTTGATATGGACCCCAGATATCGCAGTGAATAAGATCAAAGCATGCAGTAGTTTTATTAATGCTAATAGGGAATACAGTACGAGTTTGTTGTGCGCGTAGGCAAATGTCACAAACTGAAGGAGAATGACCCCTATTTTTATTCACTGTAACAAAAGGAAGAAAGCTTAAAAACTGAAATGAAGGGTGACCCAATCGACGGTGCCAAACATCTGCATTCTGTTGAGTGTGAGCCGCACATGCAGTAGAGATGGATTTGTTGTTGGATGAGTCATGCACATAAACACCAGCTTGCAATCTACCCAGTCCAGTCTTGATCCTCGTTATGGGGTCCTGCAATTCACAGCCATTGTGAGTAAAAGAAATGATGCAATTTGTATCAGCAAGTAATTGAGCAACTGATATGAGGTTGCATTGTAATTTGGGAACATATAACACATTCTGAAGAGAAATATGAGATGTCAACTTGAGTCTGCCACTGTGATTGGAAACAAGTTGATCACCATCAGGTAAACCTATTGTAGTGGGTGGAATAGATGTAACATTGGAGATTAAATGGAGGTTCCCTGTCATGTGTTGAGAAGCGCCACTATCCACCAACCAGGTAGAAGGCAGAGTGTGCTTACCAGAAAGGGATACAGTGTTAGCAGACGGTGTAGTGGAGGAAACAACCATGTTGGCAATTTGCTGTAGAAGCTCAGGACTCAGGTTGAGAATCGAGTTTTGGTTGGACACTATAGGTGTTGCAGCTGCTGTTTGTGATGCAGAAAAATTGAATGGGTTGGGACGCTTGTCATTAGCATTGATATTGACAGCGGAAGAATCTGAATCAGAATCAGCCATTGGGAAAGTGGATCGATACCTTCAAACTGATACCATATAGAAAACTAAGAGGATTTGAATATGTTGTTATATTTAATGAAATGGCTGATAGCCAATATATACACAAGTCGGTTATACAGAATCAAGGAGGATCAACTAGAATAAAGTATACTGTTCAACAAACTATACATGGAATAATAACAAACTATTCTTGCTAAAAACTAGGACTTAGTTGCTAAAGGATAAAATCAAAGGTGATCTTCTCCTAACAATCTTAGTGTGGACTGGTAATGACATTTCATCACTGTAGCATCTGTACAACTTTCAACTTCACATGGCACATGCACCTCATAAATGTCTACCACACGTCCCTTGTTTGGGGATGGAGATAATTGAATGAATCCCCATTGGATATTTCAAATTTTCGAAGTTTTAAGTATTTTTAGAAAAACTGAAATTGAATAAAGCCTGCAGTTGGCAGGGACTCATAATTAGGCTGCAACAACTACACAGCCATGAGAAGCTTTACATCAATTTTCTGAACTCTTGACAGTTATCCGAACCATTTGTGGCTTCTTTCTTAAATGTTTGATGTAGACTTCGTCAGTTGCTGATAGAAATGCAATATCAAAGACGAAGGAAAAAAAAATAGTGAAAGGCACCACAATGGCTAAAAGTAAAACTAGTGAACTTAACCTTTCCCCTTATGTTTTGCCCTTGCCTATAAATATTTCTTAACAAATTGCTCTTAGCTCTATCTTTAGGATTGCATTTACATAGAAATGTTTCTAATGATTGCAGACTTCCCAGTTGGTCAAAATGCACTTCAAATTGAAATACTGAATAGTCTGAATGAAATACATCCTTGAATTTGCATACTCAGCATGACTTACAACACCAGAGTCTGGCTTTTTTTCCAAAGAAACCAAATGGATCTTTCTGTGAACCAACAACCAAACGAGGTATTCTAATTACAAAAATCAGCTACATACGAGTGTTGAGATTATTCACAACAATCTACAAAATAACTGTATTATGAAAATTATGCTGATAAATTAGTTGATCAGCTATAATTCACCTAAACTAAATTAGATATATGTATCTTTCAAGTGATTTCTAAGCTTGGTATGTCGAAATATTTGATTAAATTGTTCCCTAGATTTAATTAATCCCTTGTATGTTATTTTGGTTTCTACTATAGTCTCAAATTCTATTTTTGAAAGTACAATGAGATCATATTAATTCAGGAGGTTTAGCTGAATATGGACCGAACTTAATTTATGTTTGTTGAGTCAGATGAGATACAATTATAAATTCCTGGTGTTTTTTTAACTCATCAACACCTTCTGGTCGGTGTAATTGCCGCATATCACCCTTGCAAATTTTGGGACCAGGCCTCTATTATTGACCATTAACGGGTGAAGGGCAAATTCTAGTACACAATGCTTCCCAACTTGTGAGAGTAGGAGTGAGGGTTGATTGTACGCAGTTTTAGCCTTATAATTTTGCAAAGAGACTATTTCCTAAACCCGAACACGTGACCTTTTTTGGTCATAAGGAACAACTCTACTGTTGTTTCAAGACTTGCACCTATTATTGACTGTAAAAAATCAATTCAACCCAAAAGCTGAAGCTGTTGGGTGAGGCTATATTAATAGTTTTTATATATTTCAACATGTCCCCTCACACAAGAGCCCACTGTGCTTGAAGGGTGGACAACATACAAGCCTACCTACCTGTGCAAAGAAAGAAATTCCACTATAAAGAAAGTGGGGGGCGGTGAGATTTGAACCCGGGACACGAGGCTTTGATACCATGTAAAGAACTAATTCAACCCAAAAATTTAAGCTGTTGGGTGAGGCTACATTAATGGTTTTTATATATTTCAACATTGACCATTAATGATGACAATGAATTATTGTAAAAAGGTTAAGAATTAAGATAATATAATATATACAAAATATTGAAGAAGGAACTTGGTGTTCTAAAAGTGACTTCATTTATTTATTTTTCATCACAATTAGTACAAAATTTCAATTACTAAGGATCATGAACCACGGCATTGAAAGGCTATTGGCTAATAGAAGGTAAATAACCATAATCTAGGCAACAAATAATTGTCTGACGGATTATATCTTCAAGTCCATGCTTGTAACTAAAACCCAAATCTTTTAATTTCTTTGAGGAAATCTCAGAAGGAACTTTATCATAATTTTTCTCAGCAATCCTGCATATGAATATAAGAATAGCATAAGCAATGAAAAATAAAATAAAATCAGTATATAGAAGGGAAGAACATTACCTTTTCTTATTTGAGTAAGAGTACTCTTTGGCAAGAAGATTAATCAACATAGACAAAGGACAACTGCTGCTGCTGCATATGTATTGACCTTCTGCTTCAGCATGCTCCATTAGGAATACATGGGCATTACATATATCTTCAATGTGAACTAAAGCAATTGATCCCATTCTTGCATTTACAGCAGATAATATCTTGAAGAACTCAGTTTCACCTACATATAAGATCAATGTTAGAGAAATATATAAACTATTAATGTAGCCTCACCTAACAGTCTAAATTTCTGGGTTGAATTGATGCTTTATATGGTATTATAGCTGACGTGATTAAGTGGTCACAAGTTTGATCCTCATCCCCATCTTATTAATAAAAATACTTAAATATTGTGAAGTTTCTTAGCACAGGTAAGCTGAGTTAATGCATCATCCCCCTTCAAGTCCAATGAGCTCTCGTGTGAGGGGTGTGTTAGAGAAATATAAAAACCATTAATGTAATCTCATTTAATAGTTTAAGCTTTTGGTTCAATTCACGCTTTACAATCAATATGGTCAAGCATGGTGACATGATGAATAAATGATTTTTCAATGTCCCTGGATGAAAATATTATACCAACATGCATGTAGATTGATGGTAAAAAAACTAAAAATAACCTGTTATTGGTGATAGTAGGACTTTAACACTTGATGGAACATTAGTAGTGAAGAATGGGCCTGCAACAGTGGTTGTTATGACTGACACAAGATTAATGCCATTTTCTTTTGCAAATTTGAATGCTGCTGCTTCTGTTAGAAGCTTTGAGAGTGCATAAACCTGCCACAGTGAAGAGAGTGCAATCAAAGGAAGCAATTTTGTGTACAAATGCAAGGGAGCCAGGGAAAGCATTATTTACCCATCCACTTGCTTGTGTGTTCCATACATGTTCAGCTTGGATTTGACAAGATTCATCAACAAAAGGTTTCCACTTTCCATTGATGTCTTTGGCAGTAATGGTACTTATCGAAGATGTGAAAACAACCCTTTTCACAGAATTTGATTTCAAGCATGACTTGAGAAGGTTTAAGGTTCCTTTGATTGCAGGATCAATTACATTTGTTTGAACATAGGACTCTGCAATGTCAAAACAGGGTCACAAGTCTCATTAACAATTTCACAAATTGTCAAAAGCTTTGTGCACTTCAAGTTTCATTGAAAGCATTGGTTATCGTCATGTCATTACCAATGTTTTCTTTCGCAACAACACTGAATTCCATTGATGCTGCAACATGAAAAACGCCATCACAGCCTTTTACAGCCTCATCAAAGCTTCCTTCTTCATTCAAATCCGCTTTGAAAATTCTCAATCGGTCAACCCCAGTCCACAATGACAGGAAGTGTAATGACTTTTCTGTTACATTAAATTATTAATATAAGATAAAGTCAAACATTTAAGGATAATTATTACAATTTTATCAGACAAAACTTGAGTTTCATTAGTCCATAAGATACAACTAAAATTAGGTAATATTTTTTTATTCAATACTAGGAGGATTATTAAAAAAAATATTTCAAATAGATATAACACAACTCATTTTAACTCTTTAAAAAAGCAATAAGGGCACACTTAAACTTAATTTAACTTGATGCTAATCTTTACTGAAGCATTGAAAATAAGTTAGGGAAAAAATGATCACACGATTATACATTGGAATTTTTTCCGAACTAGTAACAAAAAAAGACTATTAATTACTTAAAAAATCTAATTATCAAAATGAAGTTATTATGTACCCATGAAATACATTTTATGTGGTGCATGAAATGTTTGAGTTTTGTTGCCATGACGGTAACAAAGTATTTGCTAAAGTTGCAGTAATTAAAAGTTCCCAATGTGGACCTTTCACGGTGGCATCCAGTGTTTGGGTATTATTGTCGTTGAAAACGAGATACCTATATTTAAAAAGAGAAAAAGATTTCTCATGTTGCATGAGAAATCTCCTCTCCTATCACTCTCACTTCGATGTTTGTGCCAATTACTTTTCTATTTTTTATTTTTTTCTTTAAGGTGGACCCCACCCCTTTCTCTCTCTGTAGGAAAACTTGCATTTCTCATGCAACATGAGAAATTGCAAGCCCATTTAAAAATGGGTTTTAAGTATTTCACGTTACATCAAATTAGTTAGGTCATGTTATGTTGGGCTTCCTCCTTCAATGCTAAGCCCAAGCTCATTTGAGAGATTTCCTAAAAACTCTAACCCTAATTTCCACCTCCTCTATATATACTCATTAGTTGTGGGTGGAGGCTAGCTCAGATTGAGAGAACAAATTTGAGAGAAAAATTATTTGATTGTTTGAGTAAAGCTTTATGCTTTGCATTTGAAAGATCTGTAGAGAGAGTTTGAGTGAAACATCTCTAAGGTAGTTTGATTATCACCATTGTTGGAGAGGTTGAGTTAACCACCACATTGGTGTATTTGATTCGTTGTAACTATTATTTTCATAGTGGATTATTTGATTTGGACTAGGTCCCGTGGGTTTTTACTTCTTCATTGGAGAAGGTTTTCCCACGTTAAATCTGGTTGTGTTCTTCTTCTCTTTCTCCTGTTTTGTGATTTTTCGTTTTGATATTTCCGTTGCGCTGCCCGACCTGGTGAAGTTCAGGCCGAGGTATTGCCGAGATCCGAGATCAGGATCTTGTTGATTGACTTCCGCACAAAGGCCCCCGAGCCGAGCTGGAGGGAACCGAGTTTTCCCAACAGTGGTATCAGAGCTCGAGTTCGACGGGTTCTGAGGGAGACGAATGGAGACCAGTGGCATAACTAATGATGGAGACATGTTCAAGTTGACCGCAGATAATTTTACCTATTGGAGACCGATGATGGAAGATCATCTCTACTGCAAAGATCTACATGAGCCCATTACCCTTGACGAGAGACCGGCAGGCAAGACCGATAAGGAGTGGGAGATCCTGAGTCGGAAGGCGGTAGCCACGATCAGGAAATATATTGATAAAAGCCTCTTTGAGAACGTGTCCGAATTCACGAACGCGTATGAGTTGTGGACGAAGCTGGAGTCCATGATTCAAAAGAAGACTCCCAGGAATAAAGCATACCTGGTTCGCCGACTTATGAAGCTTGAATACAAGGACGGCATGAGCATGATTGAACACCTCAACACCTATAAAGGTATTGTGAATCAGCTGTCAAAAGCTGAGATGAAAATTGATAATGAGATGTAGACTTTGCTGCTGTTGAGCTCGCTGCCAGAAAGCTGGGATACTCTGGTGGTGACTTTGAGTAATTCAGTTCCAGAAGGAAAGTTGAAGATGGATGTCATGACAGACAGCCTCCTGAGCGAAGAAGTCAGGAGAAGAGAACGAGGTGTTTCAAGCACGTCTGAGGCCAACATGCAGAGAACCAAGGGAAATCCGACTCCCAGGGTAGAAGCAAAAGCCGGGGTCGAGATCGTGACAGAAGAGGAAAGTCCAGAGGTCGGTCAAAGACGAAATATGAGTTGAAGTGCTTTTACTGTGGAAAGACAGGCCATAAGAAGCCAGATTGTTGGACCCTGCAGAATGATGAGAAGAACGACAATGTGAAGCCGGATCAGATTATTCCCAAGAAGAGGGAAGACAAGAGCACCACTGTGGTGGCTGCCAACCCGGATGCTGAGATATTCCTCCTTGGTGAGGATAATTATTTGAATGTTGCATATGATGACTGCACCTGGATTGTTGACTCCGGTGCCTCCTTCCACATTATTCCACACAAAGGTTTTTTCTCCTCTTACCGAGGTGGTGATTTTGGAGTCGTGAAGATGGGAAATCAAGTGACCAGTAAGATTGTTGGTGTCGGTGATGTAACTCTGACCACAGATGTCGGATGCCGACTTGTGTTGAAAAATGTAAGGCATGTTCCTGACATGCGTTTGAACCTAATCTCTGTAGGCAAACTTGATGATGCTGGGTTAGTGAACTACTTCGGTAGTGTTAGATGGAAGCTGACCAAGGGAAACTTGGTCGTGGCTCGAGGTAAGAAGAAAGGCTCCTTGTACGTGATGCAAGGAAAGATCAATGGCAGAGAAGCCAACTCTGTCCGAGATGAACCTAGCTTGGAGCTATGGCACAAGCGCCTCGGCCACATGAGCGAGAAAGGGCTCCAGATCCTGAACAAGAAAGGATTACTGACCGGGTTGAAAGGCCAAACGTTGGAGAGTTGCACGCACTGCCTAGCTGGAAAGCAGCACCATGTTTCTTTTGTGAGACCGGATCAACCAAGACGACGTAGGTATATTCTTGACCTCGTCCATACTGATGTCTGCTCCATGTCGGAAAGATCCCTTGGAGGAGCTCAGTACTTTGTTTCATTTATTGATGACCATTCCCGAAAGTGTGGGTATATTTGTTGAAGTCTAAAGACCAGGTACTCCGATCCTTTAAAGAATTTTATGCAATGGCTGAAAGGGAGACTGACAAGAAATTGAAGGTGGTTCGATCTGATAATGGTGGTGAGTATTGCGGCCCATTTGATGCATACTGCAGAGCGGCCGTGATTCGACTTGAGAAGACGCCCCCAAGACAACTCAGCTGAATGGACTGGCTGAGCGGATGAACAGAACTATTGAAGAGAAGGTACTAGGTATGTTATCCAATGTCGGGTTACCGAAATCATTCTGGGGAGAAGCCGTCAAAACATCTGTTAACTTGATCAACCTCTCACCATCACAGCCACTTGAAGGAGAAATTCCAGAAGAAGTCTGGACAGGTCAGAAAGCGGCCTATAATCAATTGAAGGTGTTTGGATGCCGAGCTTTCGTGCATATCCCTAAAGATGAAAGGGCTAAACTTGATGCGAAGACAAAAGAATGCATCTTTCTTGGTTCGCCGAGATGTGAGTTCGGGTTCCGACTTTGGGATCCAATCAATAAGAAGATCGTGAGAAGCCGAGATGTGATCTTTCATGAGCATGAGAATATTCATGACATCTCGAAGCCCAAAGTCTGAGTTACTGTCAGACACGAAGAACCCATCCCTCCTGTCCGAGCTGAAGCAGGGGGAGAAAATCAAGAAAATAAAGAAAATGATGATCAGCAACAAGCTGAAGATGACCAAGACACTGAGGTCCGAGGTTATGATGAGATCCGGGATGAGAATGATGAACCGGGTCCTCAAGCTGAAGAACAGCCGAGATATCCAACTCGAGAAAGAAGACCCTCTACGAGATACCCATCTGTTGAATACACCGTTGCTGCTGAAGACGGTGAGCCTCAGAGTTATGATGAGGCTGTAACGACCTCAGAGAAAGAAGAAAGGGAAAAGGCAATGCAAGATGAGATGAAGTCTTTGCACGAGAATCAGACTTATGAGCTGACCGAGTTGCCAGAAGGAAGACGAGCTCTGAAAAATAAATGGGTTTACAAGAATGAAGAAAACGGGCAAAAGCCGAGATACAAAGCCCGAATTGTAGTGAAAGGCTGCAATCAGAAGAAAGGAGTAGACTTTGAGGAGATTTTTTCTCCTGTGGTGAAAATGACCTCGGTCCGAACCGTGTTAGCCATGGCGGCTTCGATGGACCTCGAGGTAGAACAAATGGACGTGAAGACGACATTTCTTCATGGTGATTTAGAAGAAGAAATATATATGGAGCAACCTGAAGGATTCCAAGCTCCAGACCAAGAAGACTTGGTATGTCGGTTGAAGAAGAGTCTCTATGGCTTGAAGCAAGCACCTCGGCAGTGGTACAAGAAGTTTGAATCATTCATGACTGATCATAAGTTTGAGAATACTAAAGCCGACCACTGCGTATTTGTGAAGAGGTATGAGGCCGGAGATTTTTTGATCTTGTTGTTATATGTTGACGACATGCTTATTGTAGGGAAAGACAAATCGAGGATAGCCGCCCTGAAAAAGGCGTTGAGCTCGTCCTTCGCAATGAAGGACCTCGGCCCTGCAAAGCAGATTCTCGGAATCAAGATCATCCGAGATAGACAGAAGAAGCTACTGTGGCTGAGTCAAGAGAAATATATTGAGAAGATTCTGAAGAGATTCAGCATGGACAAAGCCAAAACAGTGAGCACCCCCCTTGCCGGACACATAAAGCTGAACCAGAAGCAATGTCCGAGATCTGATGAAGATAAAGATGAGATGATGAAGGTCCCTTACCAATCCGCCGTCGAAAGCTTGATGTATGCAATGGTTTGCACTAGACCCGACTTGGCGTATGCTGTTGGAATGGTAAGCCGGTATTTGTCAAACCCCGGCAAAGAACACTGGGAAGCAGTGAAGTGGATCTTCAAGTACCTCCGAGGTACGACCGACTTATGTCTCAGATTTGGAGAAGGAAAAGCCGAGTTGCAAGGCTACTCAGATTCTGATTTAGGGGGAGACGCCGACTCGAGGAAGTCGACTACAGGATATTTGATGAGATTTGCCGGATGAGCTGTCTCTTGGCAATCAAGACTTCAGAAATGTGTTGCACTATCTACAACAGAGGCTGAGTACATTGCCGCTACGGAGACAAGCAAAGAGATGCTGTGGATGAAGAAGTTCCTCATGGAACTCGGCCATGATCAAGACAAGTACGAGCTGGGTTGTGACAATCAAAGCGCAATCCATCTTGCGAAGAATTCGACCTATCACTCCCGCACTAAGCATACTGATGTGAGGTATCACTGGATCTGGGATGTGGTGGAAGGTGGAGAGCTCGAACTCGTCAAGGTGCACACTGACCAAAATTGGTCCGACATGATGACAAAGCCGGTTCCAGCAAGGAAATTTGAAGACTGCTGTGAAGGAGCCGGGTTGATGCTGAAGCCGACGCATTGAAGTCGGAGGGGGAGATTTGTTGGGCTTCCTCCTTCAATGCTAAGCCCAAGCCCATTTGAGGGGTTTCCTAAAAACCCTAACCCTAATTTCCACCTCCTCTATATATACTCATTAGTTGTGGGTGGAGGCTAGGTCAGATTGAGAGAATAAATTTGAGAGAAAAATTATTTGATTGTTTGAGTAAAGCTTTATGCTTTGCATTTGAGAGATCTGTAAAGAGAGTTTGAGTGAAACATCTCTAGGGTAATTTGATTATCACCATTGTTGGAGAGATTGAGTTAACCACCACATTGGTGTATTTGATTCGTTGTAACCATTATTTTCATAGTGGATTTTTTGATCTGGACTAGGTCCCGTGGGTTTTTACTTCTTCATTGGAGAAGGTTTTCCCACGTTAAATCTGGTTGTGTTCTTCTTCTTCTCTCTCTCTCTCTCTCTCTCCTGTTTTGTGATTTTTCGTTTTGATATTTCCGCTGCGCTGCCCGACCTGGTGAAGTTCAGGCCGAGGTATTGCCGAGATTCGAGATCAGGATCTTGTTGATTGACTTCCGCACAAAGGCCCCTGAGCCGAGCTTGAGGGAACCGAGTTTTCCCAACATGTTACAGATACAGAAATTAGTGTGACTTGTCATTATTTTATTTAAAAATAAAATAAAACATAATAACACAAAATTTGAAGTGTCTGTAGGAAATTTAATTTTTTTTCTATTACATAACACTTGTTTTTTCCTTTAAAAAGATAGCCACTATCGAATATGTATATTTTTCTCTTTTTTCTGTGCATTGACATGTTGTCATATCAATATTGGTGTTTGATTTTTATTGAAAGGTCATATAAAAAAATGAATGCCATGAGAGTATTGTAAAAATTTCCCTCATGTACATAGGAAAAGAGAGAAAATTCGCAATTTAGTCACCTAACGTGGCGGGCTACATGAACCTGCATCTTTTCAAATGCTGCCACATGATATAGTATATACAAAAGAATTTATTTGAAAGATTAATCTAGTAACGAGGGGTGTGAACAGTTATGTAATAAATTGTGTACTTAATTCTTCAATATGTAAAAAAATAAAAAAAATAAAATCTTATTTTGATCATTTTTTTAATTTTTGAAAAATAATATATCTTAAGAACAAAAATCCCATTATTCATTAAGTAAAGAAAGAAAAGGCATGTGTACATTTCGGATAAAAACACTACATATATAGAGGATTTATTTCCCTTATTCAAGTAATCTATTTTGTTTCAACGTAACTTATATTTTAAATTTTTATGGAAATATTTTTTTTAATTCTAAAAATTATGCTTTTTCAAACATGTACTTAATCGGAAGTTGATAATTCTTCTAGAATGGATCTCAGTATTTTTCAAAGACAGTCAAAAGATCAACTTACATCCGCATAAGTTAAAATAAGTCATATACTCTGTAATCTGTATCAGTGACCATTGACAAGACTAATAGGCTAAAAGTAAAACTATTAAATACAAATGATTAATATTTTTAATAAAATTGATAATTGTATATAGTTTTAGAATAATATTATGTTCTTTTAAAATATTTTTTAATTATTTCTTAATTATAAACAACAAATGTATGAAATGAGAAATATATGCATTTAATATATTAAAAACTTAAAAAATTATTAGACATTTTTTTTCCTAATAATTAGGATGATTATTAGAGAATTTGGTTCAAATATTTAGAATTCGGTTAATACACACTCTTCATTTGCGTTTTATTAATATTATATTAATAAATAGTTTATCAAAAGAATTAAACATGTAATATATCTTAAATTTTATATAAGAAGGGTAAAAAAGCCAACAAAAATATCAAGTAAATGGCTAAATTAAGAATTTAGAATCATCACGGCATAAGTACTGAAAATTTATAAGCTCAACATTTTATTTATTTTTATATTTATTGACAATTATTTATGGAGCGAAAATTTTCGCCATGTCGAGCTTGAAAGTGATTTAAAGAGTGTTATTTCTATGCTCATCAAGTATGATGTAGCAATTCGTGAGGATCATCTAATCACTCAAATACAGATATAGTTACAAAAAGATTAAAGGATCAAATTTAATCATACTTATAGAGAAATTAAGATGTACATAAACCGAATGACTTATCATTTCTAGATACTGGAGAGGGAGTCAATAAAGTTTTCTAAGAGATCCTTTAATTGGAATTTATTTATTATATTTAGCTGATATTTTCTGTTGGGAGTGCTCGTGCCCTAGTGGTAGCTTAGTTTCTTTGTTTTGTGTTTGCTTGTGAGCTTTAGCCTTTTTTTTTTTTTTAAAAAAAAGAACTTTTGTTGTTGAAAGAATCCAGAAATTGACGATAATTAGGACACCAAGTCAAATCATGACTTAAAAGGAAATAGGAAGGCACAAATACTATCACATAACTTGTATTTTTTCTTTCTTAATTTTTGTATTCCAATCATGTCTCCTAGCACCGTTTACTAGCTTGAATCTGTGATGCAAAAACAAGAGGTGATTAAAGAGTGTGGAAGAAAAAGGTTACTAACCAGGATCTCTGACAGTGGCATGAACAGTGTAACCTCTTTGAAGAAGACTCTCCACCAGCCATGAACCAATATACCCTGTGGCTCCGGTAACACAGTATGTTGCAGGAAGAGCAACTTGTCCTTTGCTCTTCTCCCTCTTAAGTGCTTCCTCCATTTCCTCTTTTACTCTCTGCCACCGAAGCAAAAGTCAATAAACTAATTAAACAAGCTTAATAATGGAGCTCTTTTATAATGGGCTAGGTGGTTTTTTAATCAACCTCTTTGAGAAATTCTTCTGAGAGATTATATATTATAGGGATATGTTATTTTACCTGTTATTTTTTTTGCTTATCTTTGTCTACCACTCTAAAATACTATTGGATCAGAATGTCAACGAGAGAGAGAAAAATAAATGTTGGTTAAAATTCTGATCCAACAATATTTTAAAGTGGTAGTCCAAGATATACAAAAACAATAATAGCTAAAATAACTTATCGCTGTATCTTATATGGATAAAATTTTCATATGATCGAACGGAATTTGAACTCATACTTTTATGAGATATAAATCAAACTCTTAACCAAGTATGCCCGCAATTATTTGTATAATTCTAGTAGTTGGCAAGCATGGAACACGCAAGTAGGCATCCACCGTAAATTCATAAGAGTTGAATGATGTTGAAACGTTTTCGAATGTGCTTCACTTTTTAAGGTAACCGCCTAGCTGGTATAATGATATTTCAGATGTGAAAATTTTGTATGTATTTTTTTTTCATTTATATTAAATAAGTGGGGTTTAATTAAAATTTATATAAAAAAAATATAAACACAAATTTTTTACATAAACTGTTGATGTGAAATTTTAAGAAGAGATAATAATTTTTGAGGCAAAAATAAATAAAAATATTACATTTAGATAACAAAATGTGTAGCAATCACTTGTGCCCAATTCACACCTAATTTTGAAAGCAATTGGGGTTTTATCCGAGGATATACTGACACAAAATTTTAGAATTTTTATCGTAAAGTTTTGAAAAGCCATATATTATAGTTTGAGTGTCAAAATTGAGTGTTTTTTATCAAAAAAATATTTTTGCAGTTACTGCAGATAAGTTATCTGCATTTATTTTCAAAACGATGTCGTTTTGGAATTAAAAAATTAAAAAATTATAACTACAAAGACTATAATAATCCTGAAATAAATTAAAATTACAAACGCACCATGATTTTTGTCCTAAAATGATGTTGTATTGGACTTACTGCAAATAACTTATCTGCAATAACTGCAGAAAAAATGAACCCTTTTTTTATTCTACGTAATTTTTTGAAATCTACATTGACAAATACTCTGAGGGGATTTGGTGAAAAAGTTTTCCAAAAAAATACTTCCTTATGCTCGTTTGGTACATTTTATCTCTATCTTTGCGAATGATATTATTTAATTCTTATTCTTATTTTTTACTATGCAACAATAAGAAATAACTGTGACTCATTATTTCAATGGACAAGGAAAATTATGTAAAACTTATTCAACTTGTCAGAAAATAGATATCTATATACACTATCATGATCTCATAATTATATGTAGGATTTGTGGACTAGGGATAGTTTATGTAATTTATTTAATAAGTTATATGATTACACAATTATGTGAATTTGTCAGCAAGTATAACTTGAAAAGTTATGTAGAATAAAAAAACACCTAATTCAGACACTCGAGTCAAAAATTATGACCTTTCAAAATTTTGTGTCACGTGTCATTTTTGTGTAAGTTGAATCCATATTTTAAGCGCGATTACACCCTTATTGTGCCCAAATTTAGATGTGACTAGTCATGTTGAAAATTTTATACCATATATCATCTTCGGGTGAGTTACACCCAAATTTAGACACGGTCAGTTGCATACACATTTATAAATAAGTTTCAAATTACTATAATTTCGTAACTTTTTATTTAAATTGCACTATTTTATTTATTTTTCCCCAATTTTCGATGTTGTTCTGTTTCTATGCATGGTTTCCAAATGTTTTGAATCCCCTAGATGTGTCCAGGACATTCGCATGATTGTAATTGGTGGCATGGTATCCTGGATTTTGTACCAATGTTAGCTGCCCAACTCCTGTTTATGATATCCAAATTCGATTTCTCTTCTTTGCTTTATGAAACATAACATTAAAAAAGAAGAAGCATGTGTATACACAAACAAATGTTTAAGATTTTAAATTGGATTTGACTCACTAAATCCAAATACTTTTAAATTATTGTAGAGTTATGATTTTTTTTTCATGTGAATTTCACATGTCATTTTATTTTTCAAAAAAAGTTATGCACTAGTAAAATGTTTGAAATTTTCTAAAAATTAGATATACAAGTGTTATGAATTCAGTTTTTAAATATAAGGTGTTTGAGAATTATTTAAATAATTAAAACGAGTTGAAAATAATTTGAAAGTTTGTTCTTTTTTTTTTTTATTGTCCAACTTTTTCTGATGTTTTACTCTCTTATTCATTCTCCCCATTTATTTCGTCCAACCAAATTTAAGGATGATTATTTTTTTTTTTTTTTTTTTTGATAATGTAATTGCAGAGATAACTTACTCACCTAATGATCAACAAGCATATTAACCTTTTTAAGTTTAAATAAATTTAAAAATAAATTAGATAAGAATTAATTTAATATAAAATATAATTTGACTCAGTTTTTGAAGTTAAAATCAATTATAAAATAATAATTCATATGACATATTTATCATAAATATTTTACCCAAAGAAAGCGTATATATAAATAATTCTAAATCAGTTTTGGAAGTTGAAAAAATCTCAAATTGTGTACATGATCCTATCACCCTTACACAAAATTGTATATATTTGTTTATATATATATATATATATATATATATATATATATATATATATATATATATATATATATATAGAGAGAGAGAGAGAAAGATATGTTTACATACTTTTTTTACAAATTACATTAAGTATGACCGGTCATACTTCAATCAAGAGTGTATGACCGATCATACTTAGTATAGTTTGTAAACAAAAAGTTTGTAAATATAATCTTCTATATATATATATATATTATTTGATTGGTTACATGATAAATTTATTACCTGAACTTGTAATTTTTTTTTTCTCTCTGAAAATGTTAGTGATATAAATAGACTTATGAAAATATATTGGATCTCTGAGAGGATTTGTGGGTACCCAGATATGCAGAAGATGGTGAATTTCTATAGTATTAAAAAGAAAAATTCAACAAAGGAAAAGATTCAAAATTTAGAAAGGAAGAGAAATTGAGATTCAGTATGTCAAATTTAGATTTTAGACGATGATGTGAACAATAAAATAATATTTTCAATATATGCATGTATCTAACTGATGTTTGGTGGGAAGGCGAAAAAAAAAAACGATTTCCGGGGTGATGGAACCAAAAAAAAGGGACACCAACAATCAATACGTGGTGTATATAAATGTTAATTATATAAAAATGAGATACGTTATTTTTTACACGATGAAAGAAGAATAAGTCTTATACCCAATTTTAATATTTGATTTGTTTATATTTAATGCCTCGTATATCTAATAATCAAGAACAATTATATATAAATACGATTAACGATCAAAATTAAATTATAACTTATACGGACGTTAAGTCAACCTAGCCCTATAAAAACATATATTGCAACTTTCAATTTTGATTTGAAAGGACATAAAATGACTTGTTTGCTCTATAGATAAACACGGTTTGGATTAAGATATAGAGCAAGGATTCTCTAGTTTGAGCATGCGCCAGGATTTTTGAATACAATTGATTTGTCCATTGTAGATAATGACAAGACTATGTACGAATATTTGACCCATTAATCATTCATGCAAATCTTTCATCTGAGACGCATGATAATAAACCAAGCACCTCAAAGTAGGCCTTACTACACTCACCTTGCCACACTGCTAATTTTTCACCGCCCACTTACAAATGATCTACCAATCCTTAAGTTGCAAATTTTGATAATTCAACTTGCTGTAATTGTTGACAGTGTCAAGCTGCTTTTCTTTTATCTAATAATATTTTAGGGATAAATTATTCTACCTATTTTTTTTTTCTGTCTATCTTTGTCTACCACTTTTAAAAGACAAATCTTAATTAACAGTTATCTTTTTCTCTCCTCTTTAGATTATGATAAAATACCTTATCCCAATATTTTATTCATGTTTAGTACCTATAAAAATTCACCTCATATAAAGTCAAATTGAAGTGAATGGAATACAATTAGAAATTTAGAACCATTTTTCACTTCCTCTAGAAATACTTTATGTGTGAGTTTTAATTGGGGTGAGATAAGGGCATACAGATATTAAACTTTTAATAAGTGCTTGTGGGGAGCAAGAGCATTCTCATATTTACAACCATACTTTGCATAGTCAATTTTATCAAAAGTGAAAGGGTAAAATATTTCTTCAAAACGGAGATAAGTTATCTTATCTCCAGTGAGCTCAAAACGACATTATTTTGGGACGAAAATCAAGATGTTTTTGTAATTATAATATATTGCAAGGTTATTTTAGTCTTTATCATTATAATTTTTTAATCTTATAACCAAAAACGACATTGTTTTGAGCTCACTGCAGATAACTTTATCTCCGGTGACTGAAGAATTTTTCAAATATGATAAATAATTACAATATTGTTTGGTAGAAGTCAAATATGACAAATAATTACAATATTGTTTGGTCAGATCCTAAATTAGTCAGAATATTTGAACCCGCCTAGATGTGCATCTAATATTATCCACTTCAGCATAAAACACGTTATTACATTTGGAAACTGAACCAAAGGATAGATATTGTCTTCTATTTCATCGTAGAGGACAAAAAGAAGCATTCCTGATTGGATTGTGCAGAGTCACTTGCACATAGAAAACAACCATTCTTTATTAAAAATAAAAATCAGATTTTCTACTTTTTAAAGTCATGCACTGGTGCACATGAATAAATGTAGATATGAACAATTTTCTCTTCAAACAAGTAGATTGCACAAAGTCAAAAACCAACAGAAAAATAAAAAAAAAATAATCACTCAGGTTTTGTATCAGAATAAAAGTATACACTACATAGTAAACAGGAAAAGAGATCATAACATAAGTACACCTAGAGTTACATTAATAGTGAATGCATGCAGTGAACCAGTAAAACTAAGCAGCAGCAGCAACTTCTTCAGTTTTCTTAGTATTTTCCTTCAGTTTCTTCCAATTCTCTTCAGTATCAATTACCTCTCCAGTTTTTATAAGGTAGCGGACCTTTTTACCATTTTCAAGGATTTTATGACCCACACGGCTCGCTACATTCTGATCCTTGGAGTAGAGCATCACATTTGAGCTGTGGATTGGACCTTCAATCTGGAATTGAAGGAAAAATGTTATTCTGAATCCTTGGGGGAATACCTTAAGTAAATGAAGTTTGTCTAAACATTTACTCTGCTTATGCATAACAACCAATGAATGAGACATCAAAGAAAGTTATAGCATATCCATGTTTTCTAAGTCAACACAAAGGTTAATTGCATTTCTTGAAGAGCATGCAAAAGGGAAAAAGAATTTATGATTATGAGTTCACTAGCAAGAGAAATGAAAACAACCTTAATAATTTGGCCTGGTTCACCCTCTTCTCTACTCTTCACATGCTTTGTCTTCAAATTTATATCTTTCACTATGACAGTGCTGTTATGCTTGAAGAGCTCAGTAATCTCCCCAATTTTACCCTTTTCATGTCCAGATATCACTTTCACTGTATCTCCAACTTTGACATGCATTTTGTGCAAGACAGGAAGGCTGTTCGGTTTACATTTCTTTCGCTCCCAATGCCTAACCTGCGGTGGAGAAATAGAAAAAAATTATTACACAAGACAATTATTAAGGCTAGCTAGACAATATATTTAAGTTGATCCATAACCATGTCTTTTTATGTTGTTTTACACTACTAAATTAGAGAAGTTTAAAGGTTTGTTCTGAGATCATTTTCTTAAGAACATTGAAAGCTTTATGCATGGTTGTAAAGACAGAGTCAAAATGGATTTAGTGTCAGTGCAAAGTTTTATATACTATTCATAAATGAGAAAGTTGCACATCCCTGAAGTAACTAAGGTATTAAATTGATGTCTAGAACAGAATTTTTAATACAAGGCAAAAGAAGGCTCAGTAATTTTGTAGAACTCTTTATAGTAACTGTGGATCAAATTTAGATCCAAAGCATTGACTGGATCAAGTTAAGTTTTGGTTTTAGGTATTAGCAAAATATTTTTAAACAATTGGATCATTTTTAAGTGCCACTAAGTACCACCCAGTAATGAACTGTAGATGACTACCACAGCACATATTCTGCTCTCATCTTGCTATTGTTAAATTTTTGGACCATTTTGATTTAACAAAATCTGAAAAGAATAATCATATTAATCATTGATGAGGCAAGAATCTGATGCTAACCTTCATTACAATAAGACATTGCTTCTCTGCTAACTTACCCTGCATATCACAACCATAAAATTATATCAAGTTAGTCTACTAAACTATTGAGTACTGCATCTGTTAGAACTAGGAAATTCAGTTACCATCTTGATTCATTTTATCCTTAATAAACAGTCCATTCCCTAGTCTCACAAAATATTAATGTAATTGCAATATTTAATAGGAAAAAAAAATAGCTGCATCATAAACTAAAAATATTCATTATTGAAAATAAATTGGTCAGCAATTATTTTCTGCAATTCCAAAGTTTGTGGGAGCTAATATAATAGACAAATAAAGATAATAAAATGTTAAACAACTAATAAAAATTGGAAAACAACTACAAGTTCAAAGTTGTATTCCACATCAAGAGAAGATATGTTTCTTCAGTATAACAATGCAAGTATGCAACCGCTTCAACTAAAAAGTTTGCTGAGCCAAACCTAACTTAATAAATCACCACATAGACAAGCACCACAATAGACACATCAATTTTTTTTTTGCAGGAAACATTCTAGTAACATCACCAGATTTATAATGGAAGACCCGAAAGAAAATTTGGAAAAAAATAATAAAAATTTGAATTGCTAATACCCATGACTTGGACTCTAACAGTAAACAAGCACAAATGCTTAAAACCCATTTGGATATAAGGAGCAAGGAAGCACGTGGAATGATCAAAATTGAAACTTGAACTGAAATGAACAAATTTGAGAAATGAATTTGAAGATAAGATAATGGGTTACCGGAAGAAAAGGGCAGAGAGTGAAGGGAGAGAGTTGCTGGCCGAAGAAAGAGTTAGAGGAGAGTGAGAGAGAGGTCATGGAGCTCTGAAGAGCAGCCATAGCTGCCATGTTGCTGAAGCCTCTTCTTCTTTCTGCTTCTGATAACGATTATTGGATAATACAGTGTGAGAGTGAAGAAAGTATGGAGAAGGAAAAAAAAGAATAAAGAGCGAACAAAACGACGACGTAGCATTTGGTCTGAAAATGGATTGTGGGCTTTAAGTGGGCCACTTTAGTAAGAGCAGATTCTAACCCCATTCAGAGAGTGACCCAACTTTCTCCTTTTCATTTTTCTTTATCGAATTTTTGTAAGAGAATAGATATTATTATTATTATTGTTATTGTTATTATTATTATTATTATTTATTGTTGAATTCACAGACAATAGAATAGAAATATTATAATATAGTAGAATGTTAAAGCTGAACTGATCAATGATCAATCCCCTGTGACTGTGTTAGTAGTATAAATTACGGGGGAAAAATATTTAATATTATTTTAGATAATTTTATCTAATGTTCACCGAAACGACATCGTTCAGGGATTGAAAAATTAAAAAATTAGAATAACCCTGAAATAAATTAAAATTATAAATACACTATGATTTTCGTTCCAAAACGATATCATTATAATAAACATTAAACAAAGTTGTCTAAAATAATTTTAGAAAAAATTGAATTCATAAATTATTATTATTATTATTGAAGCTTAACCTGTCTCCTACAACCTATTAGTTTCAAAGTTGAAATCCCATATCAGTTTAACTCCAAAAATAAATAATTTTTTTTTTTGAAATCCCATGTCATCTTTGTCAATTATAATTCAAGAACTCATTTGGTAATCAATTGAGAAGAGATAGATTGAAATTAATTCAATAAGTAGAAAGCTAGTGGATTGTTATAATAGATTGTGGGCGTCAAAGGTAACTTTCTCTTTGATCATTTCAATTCATTCATGAAAGCATTGATATACAAATTTTGGAGTGTCATTTCTACAACAATAGAAATGAGGTAAGAGAAGGAAGCAAAAAATAAAGGAAAAAAATGCAAAAAAAAAAAGTTACACAAAATTACAGCAGATGATGCCGGGCATCATTAAATCACTCATCATGCCTCATGTCAAGTTATGGTCATCTTATATCCAAAACCAAAAACCAAAAATGAAAATGTAACAAAAAAAAAAAATGAGAGCTAAATGTAAAAACCATCTTCTACACATCATACATGTCAGCCGCACTATCTATAGATTCTTCTCTTCGGTGGTCAGTAACAGAAGTCTTGGTTTCTGGTTGATCCAAATCAATGGAAACTTCGTCTGCTGTGGCTGAAAGGGACTTCTTATGATGATGATTCCTATGGTGCCTTGATTTAAGGATCCGTGTCAACACTTGTACTATGTCCCTCATGGAAGGGCGCTTCCTTGGTGCACGGTTGATGCATTTGTAGGCAAGGGCTGCCACTTCATTCAGCTCTTGGAAATCACATTTTCCCTCAAGCCGAGAATCAATAATCTCCTCCCAACCATTTTTCCCCTCAGTATTCATTGCTGCCTAATCATCCATCAATAGCATTCATTAGGATAAAAAACGAATTATGCATAATGTGCTATTACAACAATATTAGAGAAATATAATAAAAAATCATTAATATGGCCTTTACCTAACCACTTAAACTTTTGTGTTAAAATGATTTTTTACACGGTATTATAGACTCTGTGATCAAGTCGTCACGAGTTCTATCCATACCACCCCCATTCTAAACACAGGTAGGTGGACATGTGCATTGTTCAATCTTCAAGTTTCAATGGCCTCTTGTGTGAAGAGATGTGTTAAAGAAATATAATATAAAATCATTAATATGACCTTCACCTACCAATTTAAACTTTTGAGTTAAAATGGTTTTTTACAACAAAGAATTATGATAGGATAAGGATAACGTCCTCAAGTAGAATCATCAAACAACCAATGACTTGTTTTGATATGCACTATTTATCACCCAAAACCCCCAAATCCAATATGCTTGTATAGAGAGAAAGAGAGAGAGAGAGAGAGAGATCTTACAAGCTCAACATATTCCATAAGACCCTGCTGAGGATTTCGGCCAGCTATAAGTTCAAAGAGTAACACTCCAAAACTGTATACATCACTTTTCTTAGTGAATGTCCCTGAAGATATATACTCAGGATCAAGATAGCCAAAGGTACCCCGAATAGCTGCATGTTTATCCACCATCTCTTCTCTTGAAAGTCCAAAATCAGCAACCTGTTTGTTTAAGCATCAACAACTAAAACGTAAGGAGCATCCTAACCAACAACAAATGACCAAAAGAAAAATATACTTGGTCATTCAGCATTATCTTCGATCATATAGATTAAATATACAGCCCGAAAAGGGGGGAAATGAGTCATAAGAAGTGGATACCAAGAGTCCAAGATCATTCTTGGCCAAAAAAAGTCATTTTCTTTTTTACAAACTACCTTTTTGTTATGAAGGTGATGATTAAAAAGGACTTACCCTGGCTCGCATTGACTGGTCCAAGAGAATGTTGGCAGATTTGATATCTCGATGGATTACAGGAGGAACTGCCTGAAGTGACAACACATACAATTATAACCAACTATACAAAGCAGAATTATCTCAGTGTAGATCATCTCGATACTTACCCCATCATGAAGATACTCCACACCTCTTGCAACGTCTAAAGCTATATGAACTCTCAAATCCCAGCCCAGTGCCCCATTCTCTTCACCTGAACAAAGAGACAAGTATATATCTTCATTTATTATTGCATACGCAAGTTGAACTTGAAAGCAATTGCCAAAAAAACAAAGCAAAACGAGAAAAAAAAATACAACAATTAAAAGGAACTTAATATCAATTACTGTTTCATATCTTGCTTACATGACTTAGTCACTTCCTTATAAACTTGGAATCCAGTAGAGAAAATTGGGGATTATGAATTGAATCTAGACATGGCCTCATGTGGAATTTACAGAAACCAAAAAAAAAAGAGTTTGATATTCGTTTTACAGGTCTAGAAAACTTCTCAACTTGTGTTTGCATATACATATTTCAATGAAGCATATTCAGCCACAAAACTTGTATAGGATGACGGTCTATGCATGAACCCACTTCATGTCTTCTTCTTTTTCCCCCAAAAAAACTAAAAAATGAAGGGCGGGGGTTCATGTATTATTCTAGGAGATGCTGCTTTAATTAACCTGGAAGGACATACAGTAAAGCTGAAATAACATGAAGCCAAAGCCTTAACCAGTTGCATAATGGTAAGCCAAAGCCTTGACTACTTTAATCACTAAATTCAAACCAGAAGCCAATTCAACAAACTGTGATACTTGCCAACCAAAATGAGTAATTAATCCAATCCATTGAGCTTCCCCATGTGGTATGAGTGGCACAGGGAAGAATTTAGGACTTGAAGTTTTTCAACTGAAAAAGATAGATAGCTAACTTACTATACAAGTGAGAAGCCAAGCTTCCTTTACTCATGTAGACGTACACAAGCATATGTTGCCCCTTCTCAGCACAATATCCAACCAAGTTGACCAGGTTTCTATGGTGTAACCTTCCCAACAACATAACCTGAAAAAACAAAAGAAAAAGAAAGAAAAGAACACAAAAGTTTAAAATTAGCAAATTATTTTGGTCTTGATTGGAGCAGAAAGATCATACAGAAAAATTACCTACATGATAACTAAAGACTGTACAACTGCCAAATTACCATTTGCAATGAAGTTATCTAAATGGAAACACGCCAAGTTGCTAAGTATTTATATCAAGTGTAGCACACAACAAATCTGTACACAGGAATTATAGAAAATAAATAAATAAATAAACTATCATTTAGGATATAGTAATAATCATATTTCTGACATTTTCATTTTCCAAAATGATACCTCCTCCATTTCAAATTATTTATTGTAGTGCTTAAACTTTTGTAACTGTTGGTTCGTAGTAGACATCAATACTCCTTCGCATCCCTTCTATGTTTTATTTGTTATGCTGACTTTCTCCATAAATTTTATCAAGTTATAGCATTTAACATAAACTTCCCCCTGAAATTTATGTCTTGAAACACTGACTAATTCCACCAATACCATTGCCAAAGTAATGAGAAATCATTATTGGTAACCATTTTCACCTCTGTGTGAAATTCTTTCTCCCCCTGCTTTGAATTTGTTGCAAGAACTTTAACGGCAACAGTCTCGCCAGTAGACATCTGAGCTTTATAAACAGGACCAAATGCACCTTGTCCTATGAGGGTGGTAAAGTTATATGTTGCCTTTTGCAAATCCCTGAAGCGTAAATAAAAGAATTAGTAAACAGAAAGAGAGAAGAAAGAGATAAATGATAAGAAAAAAGCAATTGTTCCATGAAGTTCAAACAATTTTAAACTTCATTTTTAGAAACAATCAGTAGTCACTTAAATTTCCAAATTCTCAAACAAGGCATATTATTTTTGGTTGAATATGGAAACGCGAGATATGATGAGTCAAATGCCTAGAGACAATCAAACATTTAAGCCACAAGTACAACGGTATAATGGGGTTATGGTGGTTCAGAGCCATCCTTTCCTTAGTTTCATCATCTGATATTTAAATGTTCCATCCCAATTACTCGATTTCTCCAGTGAATTTATCTTCAAAGAACAAAGACCATGAAGCACTTAAGTTTTATTTAGAATGGACCATTTCACATTCCATACAAGAAAAGATAGGCAGTTAATTATTATTCACATGGTCTCAAAGCATATAATTGTGAAAGAATTTAGAGTAGGTTCATCTAAAAAAAAGAAGAATGGCACATGAAGGTAATTCAACATAAGAAAAACATACTTGTATGAATATTCTGGTATTCCAGATGCAGAAACCATGTTACTCTTCTTGAACCCATCAAGCCAGAAGGACATGCCATTACGACTAGACCTCACAGGTGATTCTGGACCTAAGGTTGAGTCTGATAGAATAGTACATGAATCAGCACCATTTGCACGGATAGGTATAGTAGCTGCCCTCCGGGAACTGCTATTGCCTATCTGTGAACGCTTCCGATGGTATCTTAGACATAACAAAGCAGAAATTGCCAAAACAACTCCAATTACCAAACCTATGGAAATCCCAATGATTAGTCCTGTTGACTCCTCTTTCATCTCTCCTCTTTCCTTTTCTGTGCTATTGCCTTTTGATCATCCAATCCATTCATAAACCTGCCAAAAGGTGCATCAGCCATACAACAAATATTTGCAAAAGAACATGCCACTAGTAATAGCTTTCCGTGGTGCTAGGTTCATAACATTGAATTTGAAGCGGTCAATTGTAGGCTTTTACTCTTAACTTTCAAAGTCATACACAAAAAAGTCGTCAGAAGCATACAACACTCCGAAGATTAAAAAAGAGAATCTCAGGCTGAAAAATCAAAGCTGGAAGTTGACATCACTTTGTTGAAATAAACAATCAAGAAAATTGGATGAGCATAATTTACCATTACCACTTTACTAAATACCATCCTTCATGTCTACCCAAAAGTCAAATTCACCAAAATCACTAATTATACAGAATAAGGAATGCATTGCTGAACAAAGATCCAAAAAAGAAAGGTATATCCAAAACTGATATAAATGGAGTTCAATCCTCTCCTTTATACCAAAACGAAATGTACAAATCTTAAAACTTTATCTGTTTTTCTATTCAACCAATCTTACCGTGACAAAAAAAGAAGAAGGAGGAGAGCAAGATCAGAATGATGAGAAAAAAGTTCGACCCACTAATGAAATCTCAACTGAGAGTAAGGTCAAATGCAAAAAGAACTTTCTTTTATGTCCTATTTTCTTTCATCCTAATCAGTTTTTTTTTTTTTCTTTTTTTTTTTCTCAGCAACCAAACAAGGGCATAGAAAAATTAAGAGAGAGAGAGAGAGAGAGAGAGGAATAAACAGACACCTATCCAGTTCAGCAGCCACATACAGACACAACAAAACACACTTATATGGAACAGATCAAAACATTGACAGCAGAGATGGTTGACCAAAAAGGAAACTGTTGTAAGAAAAACACGTAAAGTACACCAGAGATTTGAGAACAGAAACTCACCATTTCACACGAGAACAAAAACAAAAAAGCTGAACTGAAGGCAGTTACATGTTTTGTGGGGGCGTTGCTAAAAAAAAAAAAAAGAAGTAAAACCCAGAAATGTTAAGAAGAGAAAGCATTCTAAATGAGATTCGAAGAACAAAGATGAGAGAAAAGAATCTGCAGAGAGTTGCAGAGACCAGTTTCAGAACAACAACAAAAAAGTGCATTCATTTACTGCACAAAACAAGTGAATAGGCCGCTAAAAAATAAGGGGTTTGATTTTCTTATACGTTGCAATGAGATTTAGCACGGAAATCGAAGGATGTGTAGAAAAATTTGAATTCTTATATTGAATGAGAATTATAAAACCCAAAAAATAATACAGTAAAGTATTATTTTTCTCTTCAACAAATATTGTCGAATCCAATATAAAAAATTAGGGAAGTATATTGTGACAACCAAGTTGTGTTACTATCAAGTGACTATCAATTAATCTCACCGTTAGATCGATTATGTTGATCTAACGGTTATATTTATTTTCATCTTTGTATGGTTATGATTTCCCATATTTAAAGTGAAAACATTAAATATGAAAAATCATAATAGAAATAAATATAAAGTATTAAATTTGAGAAACCATGACCATACAAAGATGGAAATAAATATAACCGTTGGATCAACATAATTGATCTAACGGTGAGATTAATTGGTAGTCACTTGGTAGTAACACAACTTGGTTGTCACAATATCCTTCCCCATTAATAAAATATTGTAACAACAATTAGTGTTATTACCAATCAATTTCATCGTTAAATCGATTATGTTGATCCAACAGTTATATTTATTTTCATCTTTGTACAGTTGTGATTTTTCATATTTAATGTGAAAGCAGCATTAAATATGAGAAATCATAACCATATAAAGGTGAAAATAAATATAAAGTATTAAATATGGGGAATCATAATTATACAAATATGGAAATAAATATAACCGTTGGATCAACTTAATTAATCTAACGGTAAATTGATTTGTAGTAACATTGGTAGTAATACAAATTGGTTGTTACATTATCCTTCCCCTACAATTAATAACATATAAATCCAAATTCCAAAAAGTTCAATAAGCAAAATACAAAAGTAATTAAAATACAAATAAGTTATTCTTCTACTTATCAATCATTAAGATTAATATTATTACTATAAGCATCAGCATCTATCAATTACATAACTACTCCATCATTCTCTTCTAAAAAGGATCCTTTCAAATTTTTTAATATAAATTGCAAATCAAATCTTTATTTCTTTTTTATATTAAAAATTACAAATTTTGATTTAATTTTTTTATTATATGATATACTTATCATATTGTGTTATAAGATACAAAATCGTATCGTTCGATACAAATTCATTTCTGATATATCCTACGATATGTATTGCTGAGCTTATGAATCGTATCGTAAGATACTGATAACTATGCTTTTGAGGGATTAACGTGGATCTTCCTTAAATTTTAGAGGGACTACAATTTCGACCAATTGAGTCTATTTTAAATTTCAGTGGGACCATAATTCCACTTTTTTTCTAAGTAATTAAAATAGACTTCGTAATTTTTGTTGTGGTTCCAAAAAAATGCTTTATTCAAAATAATAATAATAAAATATTTTTGTTGAGAAGGAGGTAAAATTTACTTTTCTTTTTCTCTTCTTTGAGGCACATGGCAATTATTCTAATTCAAGGAGATGTTTGGGAATTACAGGGTGCAGATTAAGGTGGACACGTGTCCTTTTATGGCCGAACATTAATTCTTGATGAGTATTAAAGGACCACTTGGATTGCTTTTCTTCCTTGTTGAAAAGATATAAATAACTCCACCCTGTAAACAAAGGGATATATTTATGTGTAAAAAAGTGAGAGAAAAGCAACTTGTATGATTGCTTGCAGCAGACATAGTCTAAAGTTATTTTGGATATTTAATATTGATTATTCTCTTGACCAAGTAGACAAGTGGCAGTAAATTTAAATTGAACATAATTTTTTTTTAATATATGGATATGATCTCATCACAATTTATTTTTTTTTTTATTTCATACAAAATTTAATTATTATATATATTTTTTTGTAACTCCTGTATAGGGTCTATATAAAATCCTAATTTATAAGGAATCAATCTGAGTCAAATGATTTTATTTTCGATTTTTTTTTCAACTTAAGAATCAATTTATCAATTATAATAAATTTTTATTTAATTATTAATTTATTATTTATATTTATATTACTTTATATATGTTATAATATTATCCTATTTGGGAATTAAATATACGAAATATTTTTTTTTATAATTTTTTTATTTGTTGTTGTATTTTTTTATAATAAAAGTAAGATGTTACTGATTTACACGAGAGTAGTGAGAAATGTTTTAGTCTAAATTTTGTATATATTATTTCTTTATTTTTATTATTATTTTGTTTTTGATTTGTGAAATTGTGATGATTGATCCTAATTCAAATGGTCTATCTTAAAAATCATGAACGGGTTTAGGCTAATGATAACTAGGCTCAAATCTTCTTAGAAAATGTTTCAAGTTAGAACATGAACTTGATGCACCATCTAATTTGTTGAATTTTTAGTCATGTATCCAGTTATTATATTTTATTTTATTTTAAATATAAAAAATAATCGTAGCAACTAGCAGTTATATTATTATATAAACACTACATAAACAACACAAATGATCTCGGCTTTGCCACCATGGTAAAAGACTCGAGTTAAATCTCAATTTTTCCTTTACCAAAAAAAAAAAATCTCAATTTTTCAATCCCAAGTGTAGGTGAGTTGGTAAGCGGATTGCAGCTTAAGGGTCGGGCGTATGTGGCCAATGAAGTTATGCGTTTGATTCAGAAGCACTTTGAGACCAATGGTGAAAATCATAACGATCCAAACAGTTACTAAAAAAAAATCTCAAATTCTCCTAGCTAGAAAATCTAGCCGTAAATATCTGTAGGCAAAAAATAATGGGGAAAATTATATTTACAAACTTTTTGTTTATAAACTCTTACAAACTACACTATGTATTCTTGGAAAAACACTAGGTTACACTAAGTTCTTCCGAGAGTATATAGTATAATTTGCAAAAATTTGTGAAAAAAAATTTGTTAACGGATCATTCTCCAAAAATAATTACACTATACTGTAAATGGTAAAATAATATCTTTTTAATTTATATGAAAGGATTTCCTAATTTAGCATTTAGTTTTTTTTTTCTCTAAAACTATGACTATTAATTGCTTATTTAAAGATTTAAAGATAAATTTAAAAATGATAAAATTATAAAAACATATTTTTAGTCATTCAATAAATGAAAAAAATTAAACACTATTTATTATTATCTATTTGTTAGCTCACAAAAATGAAAAAAATAAATAAATGAATTAACAAATAAGTAGTAACAATTAATATCCTAGAGGGGTATTTACCAAAAAAAAAAATATCCTAGAGGGGTTAGGGTGCATTTCTTATGTCCGGACCCAATTTGAAAAATATTTATGGGGTACCCCTTAAATTAACCTAGCTCAAACGCCTTTTGGAGGTCAACTCATGGAAAATTATATAGTTTTGTTGATAACCATAGTAGTTAACAAAGGATAGAGTTTTCATTTTTCAAAACATATCCCAAAATCAAGAAAATACAAAATAAAGAAAACGAACACCTAAAGAGAAGTTGGTTGATTTTGGCGGGTAATAGGTATGAGGGAAATGAGAATGGAAGTGATCAACTTCAACCTAACACACCTAAATGACCTAATGTGACATGAAATAAAGAGAATTGATGAATCCAAGCAAAAATGCAACTTTGGGATGAAAACAAAGTGAAGCCCACTTCTGACCTTCATGAAAGTGATAGATTAGTTCTTGTGATTGTGATTATTCATAAATTAAGATTCAAGACCATGACATGATGAAGAACAATGTAGGCATATGAATTAGAGTAACTTGTTCTTACCTCCTTCAAATTTTTTTATTACGCAACTTCTTCTAATTTTAAAATATATACAAACTTCTTTTCAAGGAAAAAGCTTATAAAGAAAAATAAAATAAGAGAAGTTGATGTAAATTCTTTAAGACACAACTTTAGTTTTGAAAACTTTATAGAGTGTAAGCTTGTATAATTAGAATATATATAGAGGTAGGATCCTTTGACACCGGTATCAAATTTGAAGTTTGACACCTCATATGAGAGCTGTTAGATCAAAAAAGATCAACGACTCTGATTTGTAAGCATATGATACTATTGATCTTTTTTGATCTAACGACTCTCATATGAGGTGTCAAAGAATCCTGCCTCATATATATATATATATATATATATATATATATATATATATATATATATATATATATATATATATATATGAGGCAGGATCCTTTGACACCGGTGTTAAAGAAAAAGTTTGACACCTCATCTGAGAACCGTTAGATTAAAAAAAATCAATGATGTCACATGTTTACAAATCAGAATCGTTGATTTTTTTTTAATCTAACGGTTCTCAGATGAGGTGTCAAAGGATCCTGCCTCTGTATATATATATATATATAAGAGATGAAAACAATCTACTCAGTATTAGCTAAGTTATATATCTGCATGGAAGCTATTAGCTGCAATGGCCACCTTTTTTAACTCATTGCTTAGCACTTTGACCTTAATTTTCTTCTTCTTTTTCATATTTCTTAGGAAAATTTTTTATGTGTATCTTTCTCTGTAAGGTTAAATTTTAGCATAATAGGTTCACATTAGCATCAAATACACCCATAATCAATATGCATATATATATATTTGTCTAATCCACAAATGAGATTAATTATAAGAAGTTTAGATTTCTGCAGCTGCTATACGTGCAGCAATCAAATGCTTATAATATATATACGTGAAAACATTAAATGTGAAGAATCATAATCATACAAAAGGTGAAAGCATTAAATGTGGGGAATCACAACTATACACCTGTCGTTGCTGTATGTAAAGCGACTACATAAATAATTTTA